CACACACACACACATGCTTTCTCTGACTGTGTAGTGCTTGGCCACACAGACATTATTCTTTATGCAGTAACAGGTAGACATCATCTCTGTGCTGCTCAGAGGAGAGCAGAAGAGGGACCGGCGTTTTGGCTTCTTTTTTTTTTTTTATATGTGCGAAGTAAACTGTGAGAAAAGAAGCACAGGTGGAACAGGAGGATAAGAGGAAGAAGAGGAAGGGGTCTTAGCTTCACCCCCTCTAATGCTCCACTTGACATCATGCTGCTCTGTGTGGATTTGGTCCTCAGGGGAAAATCCTTAAAATGATGGAAGACAACAAACAGCTGGCACAGAGGATTGATGGGGCCATCAAGTCCGCCAGTCAGGAAGTGACCAACCTCCGCTCCGAGCTCTCTGCCACCAGCCGCAGACTGGCAGAGCTGGGTGCCAGCAGCCCCCCTGCCTTGGAGAACCACCACCAGCACAACCACCACGATGACAGCCTCCACTACCGGGGTGAGTGTCACAGCATGTGCATGTATGTGAAAGTGTGTGTGCACTCACGCCTAATCCCCTGCCTCTCCGTGTGTGAGAGTGAGAACATGAACATGTGTGAGTGTTTTGAAATCAACAGTGGGAAGTATTTAGGGAATGTGCAGCGGGTTGACTAATATCATTCCACTATTCTTCCACTGACTTATTTTTCCCCAAACTCCACACCAGAATGACAGTGGAAAGATTTAAAAGCAGATTGAAAAGAAAGAGAACAAGAGACAGACTAAGTGTTGTTATTAGACGGGAGGGGTTGGGGTTAGAGAGCGTGGGCCAGAGCCGGTCCTGGGTTCAGTTTCCCAGGCAGCAGCTGGGCTCCTCTGGGGCTGCGTTCCTTCCAGCTCTGGCTCCTTCTCTGGTCTCTCCCCAGGTCTGGCAAGGAGTCTCAAACCATGGTTTGGGCCCAGGAACTGTATGCCAACATCTTAGACTGGGGCTGGCGACACCATGGCACCATTGCTTAGCTGGGAAAGAGATGTGATGAATGAGGAATGAGCTTTAAACTGAAGTTTTCATGGGTCTGCTCATTCTGGTCATTCAAATGTTGAAGTTTTGGCTTCATGTCCTGAAATCACATGCTTTCTAATATCACTAACGTAAACACTATGAATAATAGACACAGTTTTATAGTTGTTGTCTTCTCTTGTTCACAATTGTTATCTTTATAGCTATTTTCTGTTTGCTTCAGCTTGTGTAAAACGACGGCCTGTGTCTAATTAAACCTTCTTACTACTTTTATACAGCTGACATCTTGGATTCATTAATGATGAGTTTTATTTTGTAATGATTGGAACAACAGTGTAAGCGGGAAAGTCCCTGTGATCTTGTTTGTGTGTTGCCCTTATGTGTGAACTGAACAGCAAATACCACTGTTCATGACTAAATCACTTTACTGAACAACTAATTAGCCATGAAAATCTTAAAGCTTACAGCAGAATATAGGATAACATAACAGATTAATCTTTTCAGCCTGCACGTATAGAAAGTTTGGCTTGCTGATATAGTGAAAAGGCCTCTGAAAAAGTCCCTGGCCTCAGGGTGTGTGCATGTTCTGCATTTGACTTGGATATGTTTAGAAGCCTGGAGGTTATTGAGATCATACACTAGCAAGCAGCTTGCTGTCAGTGTCCATTAAAATATAGTTCAGCAGCAGGTGATTCCTCATTTCCACTGCTGGTCTGGTTTTAGAGTGTTGATTGTTGTAACTACGCCTTTGGCATGTGCATCACGGCTACCAGGGCTTATCCTGCGTTCCCTCAGCGCCTTAGTTGTGCACGTTCTCAGGAATTAATGTAATGCACTCTCAAGATGCAATTAAAGGGTCACTTTGCCAGTTTCACACATGGTCTTGTGAGAAAATAGCACTGATGTTATAATGATGTCAAGTTACGTTATGGGAAATGTAGGATAGGAGTTTGATCCATACATACGTTTGTTGCTCTGGTTTTGGCCATTCATTTTTTAATTGTGTCTTGCAAGTCCCCCAATTTTATGGAAGTGAAATTGCTGCTTTAAGCACGTCAACAGTGGGGACAGTTAACCAGTATGTGACATAAGGTGGGCAGCACACAGTGGACTAAATCACAACAATAATGGCTGAAAGTTATGAGAGAGAAATAAAAACTGTCACTGCAGATGCTTTTTTTCCTCTGCTCTCATTAAAATTAAGATCTCAAGGAAGACCAGGGTTGATTTAGCCCTCATCTGCTGTGTAGTGGATATACTTTTTAATACACAAAAAGCACACAGGAAGGGAAGCTTGCATCACAGTTTATGCTAGTGTGCTGTTGAAGTGAGTATGTCCCAATATGAAGCTACCCAACTGGGTATCTTTTCTTGGCCTGTGAGACTGGTGAAGGAACCGCAGTATCTGAATCGGGAAAAAAAATGGTGTTTCATGCAAAGATTCCTGTACAGTTGTAATGAATGCGGAAATAAGCTATAGAGACCAAAGCCTTTTTTTTTTTTACCAGGCTGTAAACATGTTTTTTTTTGCTATAGTATATTTGTAAGCCATGGATGTTGCCGATTGGTTTGAAAACTGATGTGACATCCAAACTACAACGGTATATGATATTGTGAGAAGGGATTTTACAACTCAAGAAAGTTATCACCATGGTTGGAGGATCATGTGTCAATGGTGTGGCCCCCTAAAATGGGAGGTAACATTTTTTTACACGACAGGTCTAAAAACGGCCTTAGCCTCTTTATTGCTGGAATAACTCACGCTGCAGTGAGTTATCTGTTGTGTCCATCCTGCTTGCTCTGTTTCGTTCCAGTAGTGTGAACAGGCAGCCTGACATTCCCACATTCCTGAATGTCAGAGCAGTGATGTCATACTTCCTGTTCCCAGAGGCCAGTCTAGCAGTCAGGTGACTGACCAAACCAAACACAGCCACACAGTCCTCACCACCCTTCTTCTATTTTTTTTTTTTTTCAAACTGACAAACTAACACAGCAGAGCCCTCACCTTGCCCGCATAAAGAGGGATGAGCCTGAGAACCGCTTAGCTTAAGGATGTTTTTTTTAAGATTTTAAGTTAAAGATGATTCGTCTGAGAGATCTCTCGGGTTAGGCAGTTTGGTGTGTGATGGGCCAGCGTCAGCGTCCAGTGGCTTAGGGAGATTAAATGTTCTTTAGGTGTGTATCCCTCTCAAGGCCGGGCTGTTTGTTAGTCCATTTGTTGGCTCTGCCCTGTGCAGGATCAAAGCAACAGAAAAAGGTTTTTGAATATGCATGAACTGACTTCCTGTTAATATATTGCACTGTGCCAAAATGTCAGAATTTTTGCTGTTTCCCTGTAGAGCTTCAATAACATCTCTGACAGATGTCCAATAAGGCCATAAACACAGCACTTCAGCCTGCTGTTCGTGTTGGCCTTGGAGTCTGTCCTTCTTACCGAACTAATCGCGAGATTAAATAACCGAAAACTTCCAGTCTCTACATCCTGCATCGGGATTGCTTTTGTACATTTTGTGTAATTTTTCTAAGCATATCTCTGTTTACAAGAGATTTTTATGTCTTATCTTCAAGACAATGGAAAGGATCTTTGGCTGACTGTTACAAACAACCTGCCTCCTTTTATTCAAGCCACTGACAGTAATGTATTCATTGCCAGGGTGATGACACCCCCTTATTATTGGCCCTTCCTCTTAATCCATCACATTGATGTCAAGACCTTGTTTAACATTCCTAAACAACGCTGATGTTTCAGCACTAATCGACTGCATTGCTGCCATATCTAATGTCCATCTGACTTGTGAGGGAAAAAAACTGAGATATGTATCCAGCTTGCACTCAATTTGTCTCAGGGAACAGAGGCTGTATGAAAATATTTTGTCCTCTAAAATCAATGTGAGGTAACCTTATGGGATACATTACATTATTTATACTCTTGGTAGATCAGTGCCCAGCAGTCGTTCAGTGAAAAAGTGCTCATCATGGACTCATGGGAGTTTGCCAATACTAATCCATAAACCTTTCTAAAACACAACTATAAGGCAGCTGTTGGTGAGTCATACAGTATGAGGAGTAAAAGGTGACACAGGGAACAATGTGCTGAACACAAATGGAGTAAGCGGTAATGTATGCATGAATTTTACCGATTTTCGCTTGATCCACAGCATCACGGTTGGTGACAGTCAAGGTAAAATAAGGGACTCGAGGTTAGAACTGTGGCTTTACAAAGTGAGATGAGTTATTTTGTCATTTGACATTCAGGATTATGAGAGTAAGAGTTATATCTGGCGTAGACCATGTTTGGTGACTTACAGTTGGACCACTTCCAGGACTTGGATGGGTATGAAATTCTCCAGGCTGAACAACAGATGAGCAACTTAAAATGTCTGGTTCATTCATAGAAAGCTAAAGGTGCAAGACATAAAACCTAGTTAACAGGCCAACGAGAATTTTGTGAGAAAATTCTGTTATTAGTGGTGTCAGAAGAGCAAGTGGAAGCTAAAGGTTATGCTTTGTAGAAACAAGAACTACTTTATTCATCCCCTTGGGGAAATTTAATCATTCACTTATGGATTATGGGTCAATTTTAGATTAATTTGTTTCCCAATTGCACTGAGAAAATGAACTAATGGCTAAACTAAATGTCTTCTTCCCCATAGTGACAGTAGCAGAGACTCATTGTGATTCTAGTTTTCACAACCACCCACCATACCGCAGAAAAAAATCATGATTTCTGATAAACAAGTCTAAACAAGTAACACTGACGACCATTATGGTATTGTCCGATTGTTTAGGAGACTCTGGTGTTTGTACGGTATGAAGCATTGGTGTCGACCACGAAATATTAAAAGCTTGTTATTATTACTCAAGACTGAGGGCACCTTGGATTTTTCTTATTTTTAGTGGTCCTTCACTCCAAAAGAGCATTGCTTAGTGAATGTAACAAAAAACCTTTTGTTGTCAAAATGAAGACGTAAACATTGAAAATAGAAAATGAAAATGAAAAATATTTCCAGAACCAGCGGCTCCAACTTTTCAACCCCATAATAGGTGCTATTGGGACATGGCAGTAGCCTATAATGTATTCATGGATAGAGGAAGATAACACAGCTGAAATATTTAAAGACATGCTCCAAACTGTAAAGCGTGCTGTAAAACAGTGTTGATTAAGTATTCTTCTATAAGACCCAGTGATTATCTTTTCTCAGTAGAGGAGAAGCTGCACTGGCTCTAATGCTCTCTGCTGCAGAGTAATTGTGGGGAAGAATCCTCTCCCCATCTGGCCTGAGTTTGTCAGAGGCCCCGGGTCTCTCATTACTTCATCGTGCACATGGGCTGGGAACAGAGCGGCAAACTACAGGGGCAAAATCCCACCCACTCCAGTTCTTTCTTTTTCTCTCTCTCTCTGTAACGCTCTCCAGGGACCACCCGCCTTCCTGTTCGCTGTCCACATGCAGAGAAAGTATGCAATGCGCTCTAACCTTCCCCCTGTATCCATCACCACC